TGCGATTGAAAAATCGAAATTTTTCATATCGCGATATTATCGCAAATGCAATTAATCGTTCAGCCCTACAATGCACCCTCATTGGACTTGCATTTAAGACACAAAGGTGACACAGAGGGATATATGGAATGTAATTTGGTACGAGAGTAGTGCAATCTATGGACAACTTTATACTGAATCAACTGAAAATTAGAGTTGATGGAGCAAGACCTAATACCTTGGAGGGCCTTAGCCCAATTATCTTCTGAAATATCTATCCCTAAGTCCTTTTCCCAAGACATCTTTAAGTATTGTGTAGAAGGAGTTCTAGAATAATTAAAAAATTTTTCATATCGCGATATTATCGCAAATGCAATTAATCGTTCAGCCCTACAATGCACCCTCATTGGACTTGCATTTAAGACACAAAGGTGACACAGAGGGATATATGGAATGTAATTTGGTACGAGAGTAGTGCAATCTATGGACAACTTTAGTAGCCCAAATTTTTGTCTAAGCTGAGCAAAAGAAGCAAATACATTGTCTATATATAAATCTCCTATAGACCGAACTCCATTTTCTTTCCATGATAAAAATGTTCTATCCGACTGTGAGGGAGGGAATGCAAGTAAATGCAAATGTAAGTGAGCAGGTCTGAGGGAGTTTAAAGATTTTTCTGAGCTGATACAAAATCTTAAGAGAATTTACAACAATAGGGTTACATTTCTTCAGTGTTCTGATAGGTTTGTTTTCTGCAAAGAGTAAAGCAGGGAGGGAGGATTCCTGCATATCCCGCTCAATAGCCAGCCAAGCAGGAATGGTAGCGTTCGATTTCCCGGGGCATGCAATCCACCAATACATTAATGCCCTTAGAGTGGCTGCCCAGTAGTAATGCTGAAAACAAGGAAGACCTAGGCCTCCTACCTCTTTTATTTTACAAATATGCGCTTTAGATATACGATGAGCTCTATATCCCCAGATAAACGGCATGATCACAGTATCAAATGTTTTAAAGAATGACTGTGTTAAAAAGATAGGAACGTTTTGAAACAAATAAAGAAATCTAGCTAAAGTAACCATTTTGATTGCGTTAACACGACCAATCATTGTTAAAGGGATAGTTCACCCAAAAATGAAAATTCTGTCATTAATTACTCACCCTCATGTCGTTCCAAACCCGTAAGACCTCCGTTTATCTTCGGAACACAAATTAAGGTATTTTTGATGCATTCTGACAGCTCTCTGACGCTCCCAAAGACAGCAAGGGTACTACCACGATCAACATCCAGAAACGTAGCAAGGAGATCGGTAAAATAATCCATGTGACATCAGGGGTTCAACCGTAATATTACGAAGCTACGAGAATACATTTTGTGCGCAAAAGAAAAAAAAAACCCACTTTATTCAACAATTCGTCTCCTCCATGTCACCCTAGCGCCGTTTTGGAGAGTATCCACTGAACGTAAACAGCGTATGTTGTTCTGTGTCAGCCGCACCACACGGATAGGGTTTATCATAGGGTAAACCGAGCGACTAGTTAAGTTATTGCTGAATAAACAAAACAAAGAAAAACACAAAAATATCTAATACAAAAATAAGCTGGCAAAATACTACCCCAGTGATCTCGCTTCTCGAACATAAGCGAAAATCAGAGTACCCCATTTAAACGTGGGATCGCCGAACAGAACACAAGGAAAGAGAAAAACTAAATAAATTAAACTCAAAAGAAAACAAAAATCGACCGGTGAGGTGACGGATTAACGGTTCTTCGAAACAACACACCGCTCCGTCTCCACACATTGTGATCAGGAATACTTTGTATGTGAATGAAAGCACAAACATCCCCATACATACACACAGGGCCGGCCCTAGCGTTTTGGGGGCCCTAAGCAGATTTTCAAAAGGGGCCCCCCCATACCTACAGTTTCACCTAACCACCCGCATCCCATCCCAATGTACACATCTTACACTGACA